TAGTGATGCAAGGCTTTGTGATGTCTTTTGCTGCATGTTTGAAGAGTTTGGAAACATGAGAAAGAAAGGAAAGAAAGCTCAGATTGGCAGGCGAATCAGACCAGGCTGATGCGCAGAGTGGCCAAAAGGGTTTGAAGAGTTTTGTTGAATCTTGAGGAATTGCCACGACCAGGATTGGAGAGACCAGCGCAAGAGGGTCTGTCAGGGATTTGCTGTGACATGGCAAGTTCATCATTGTGCATGACAGTTGCAGATTAGTTTGTTGCAAGTTTAGCTTCTAGAGAGTTTCTTGTGATTTCATTTGCAGTTGCTTGCAGCTTTGTGTACTTGTCAGGTCTTGAGGACAGACTTTTGCGCGGCGTTGTAACCCTAGATAACCTTTTTGCATCCTTAGCTGACAGGTATGTTTGTCCTTGAAAGCTTTGCTTTCGAGGATCCCGATGATGAGACCATGAAGGCCATGCAGATGGGATCTGATCCTGAGATCTTTTTTGCTTGATGTTTTCTTGGTTGGTTGCGGGCTTGTTGATGGTCGAAGTTGGTTCTTTGTTGGATCTGGAGTTCTGCTTGGGATGGACTCGAGTTCACCTCTGGATTGATGGGACAAGAGTAGGGGTCTTAGTTGATGTCTGATCCTTAATAGCTCAGAGAAAACGAATAGAAGAAGAGAAGAAGAGAGAAGAAGACAGGAGGTAGCGCTATGCGACCCAAGAAGGGGTGTGGAACATAGCGTACAGCATGCGTGTACAGTGTATGGCTCACCTAGTGCTTGCTCTTTAGGGTATCTTCGTTTTCAAAGTGCTTGGGGTTGGAGCTGAGTGGAGATCTTTGGCCTTTTGATGTTTTCCCTTCGACCACCTTAGCAGGAGGATGTTTGAAGAGGCAACTTGTGGCTAGGAAGAGCTTAGAGAACCTTTTGGTAGAGCACTGTATACATGGAGAACGTTTGAGATAGGTCTTTGTAGGTTTGTGTAGCTTTGAGATGACTATGAATAGTCTTTGACTCTTTTGAGAAGAGTGGACAAGCTTTAGAGAAGCTTTGAGAACCTTTGAGACAGTCCACATCGACTGTGACTTTGGCTCAAGGAGCGGGATCGAAAAGGGAAGCTTGCGCTGCCGTGTTTTCACAGTTTTTGTTCCTGAGAGGAAAGCTGTGCTGTAAGGGTAGAAAAAAGCATTCTATGCGAAAAACACGTTCTTCCGGAGTGGAGTCGTGGGCATGGTGGCCAATCCCACTGCACTGGCTTGACATCCCATCACCGCAACTCCTCCCAGATGTCAGATGTCAATTCCAGCAATCGCAATTCGACCCAGTGGAGGTCCAAGGAGGGCTTGGGCTCAAACAGCCAGGCGGCAACTCCACAGACAATCCAGACATGAGTCGATTTGATGCAGAAAAAACAGTTGGTCAAGAAGCCATGGAGAATGTACTGATAGTACCCATTTGCTGGAAAGTCTTAAGGTCTGTGTCTGTGATGGTCGTCATGATCGTTTGTCTTCGAAAGATGTCAGTTGGAAGGAGACGCAGCATTGTCCCAAGAAGCTTTGCGAGCTAATCCAAAAGGATTCAAAGCCGAATTGACCGCATGAGTGTCATGCTTTTGTTGAGTCCAGAATGGCACGTTTTTGCTTATGGCAGTTCGTGCAACAAAGCTCCAGCTTAGTACAAGCTTTGATGTTTCGCTCACACCGTCCTGAGGTGTGATGATGACCCTGGATGTGGGAACAATGCTTGCTGCGCTTGGAAGCTGCGGCCGCTATGGTCTTTGCAGCGGGAGTCATTTGTGGCAGCCTGCTGACCTGCTGCTCTGAGTCGGCGTCGTGAGCATGCTGAGTTTAGCCGCTTGAAGAAGGAACCTACCACGGTGAATGGTGCACCATTGCCCAGTTCCTTGGGGCAGTGTGAGAAGGTTTTTAACTTCCCAGTGAGTGGGAGCAAGGTTCATTTGAATCCGTCTTGCTCAGGCATGGTTGCACCAATGTCGAAAGACTTGTTTTCGAAAGGTCTGTCTTCACCGAAGAAGAAGGCTTGATGTCAGCCATTGTTCCGAGCGAAATGTCCAAGAGGGGGTGAAGAAATCCATTTGTCGGATGTGCACCTCGCTCGTGCTTGTTGCTTTGTTTGGTCTTTGTTGTTTTGTATTGTTTGGTTTGTGTTCTGAAAGGGAGAGAGCCGGACCGTAACACCGTAGTTTGTTTCTTGAAGTTTTGAAAAAGTTTTGTAGCGGTTTCGAAAGTTTAAGAGTTTTTTGTAAAGAGTTGCTTGTGTGTAGTATGCATATGTACAGTCTTTGAGTGACTGTTACTTTTGGCTCAAGTGAGTGTGAAAAGGGCGCCAGGGAGTGCACTACTTTAGCTTGAGTTGTTGTTGACTTGAAAAGTTTCGAGAACTTGAGAACGAGTTTTAGAGTGTACCGGACTCATCTAGAGAGCCTGCTGTGAGCTTAAAGATCCAGGGGAAGTGTAGTTAACCGTATAAGGTCTGTTACCCACGTTTTTCGTTTTTGTTCTTAAGCCAGAAACCCCCACCTGTCCAACGCCCATGTCGGGCGTGTTGATGTGGCCCTGTCGGGTCGGGTCGTTTGGGTCTTCCGCCGCGGGAGGAATATAGTCAGAGTCGCTTTAGGGCGTGAGGATCTGGGTTGTTCGAACAAGTCGTCGCCAGTTTTTCCTCCAACATCGGTGTATTTGGTCCGTGGCAGGGGAGGATGAATGGTATCTCTTCAGTCTCCACGTGCACATATTGGCAGCTGCACAGCGGCGACGTGCGGCAACTCAAGGGGCACATTAACATGAGTATATACATGGAACGACGGCCCACTATCAAGGGGATCAATGTATGCTTTGTAAAGCGTTGAGGAGTAGCGTCAGCGCCCGCGCACAGGTCCACAGACCTGTTTTATACTTTTTCAGCTCAATGGTCGACAAAAAAAACTGAATGGCTCAGCTTGTAGGTCCTTACTTGCGCTCTGGAGGCGGCTATAGGGTCTTGCAGGTGCGGCAGCGACCGCAAGGGCTGGAAGGGCTCAACGAACGGCCAAGGAGTGGCCTATGGCTAAAAACGACCAAAACTACGAGCTCAATCCAGCTGATCCAGCTGAGATCCATCTATTTAAAGGCTTACGCCTGACAGCCGGGCGCCGGCGCACTTGGGTAAGAGAGTTCTGGGTCGAGGCGGTAGGTGTCGCTCGCGGTGTTTGCGGGGTGTGGTTTCGGTGAGGGACAGTCGTCCACGGAGAAGACGGGGGGCCGGGGTTTGGGGCACCCCGGCAGCACCCGTCCGAGGGACGGGGGCTGACTGCCCTGCTGACTGCCCTGGCTTCTCTAAGCAAAAGCCGAAAGTCGGGAGAGCCGTTGCAACCGAAAACTAGTCCGCCAAGGGGCCCGAAACCCTGTAAAGGGATATGTTAGCTACAAAGAGCACATCTGGGGCCCATATTGAGCCTATGTTGAAGACGTTAGCCCTATGTTGGCCTAGGTTGGGCCTATGTTGGGCCGATGTTGGCGTCTGTTGGCCCCAAGTTGGCCTATGTTGGCCCTATGTTGAGCCATCTTGGAGGCTATGTTGGGCCTATGTTGGCGTCTGCTGGCCCCGAGTTGGCCTATGTTGAGCCATCTTGGAGGCTATGTTGGGCATATGTTGGGGATATGTTGGCTATCTTGGGCCTATGTTGGGGATATGTTAGGCGATTTATGTTGAAAAAATCTTCCGATACAACTCTTTACGATTTTTTCCTTCCCGCTCTGGGGCCTACGTTGGCGTCTGTTGGCCCCAAGTTGGCCTATGTTGGCCCTATGTTGAGCCATCTTGGAGGCTATGTTGGGCATATGTTGGGGATCTGTTGGCTATCTTGGGCCTATGTTGGGGACATGTTAGGCGATTTATGTTGAAAAAATCTTCCGATACAACTCTTTACGATTTTTTCCTTCCCGCAAAGCAAAAACCATGAAAAAACCTAGGTTTTTTTGACATCGCCAAGCTGAAATTCTCGGCTGCCGAGGGGCCCGAAACCCTGTAAAACACAGTGTTTTTTATACCTCACACACACGATACACTGTAAATTACAGGGGCTTCAGGGACCCGGTGGTCCCCCCGTTTTGGTGACGAGGGTCGGCGGTTGGGGGGGCGAGCGTCTATAACCTTCGGTTACCACCGAAGGCCTCCGGCGAGGACACGGGCTTCGTGGCCGGCGCCCGGATTTACCAGGCTACCGCCTGCAGCCGCCGACCCCCAAGGGATAGAACCTTAGCGCTAGCCTTGCTCTATGTTAGCCTTAGCCTTAAGCCTTAGCCTTAGCCTTAAGAGTGCAGACCCAACCCAGCACCACCAAAGCAGGTACCCAAAAAGTCGACTTTTTGGGTACCTCCCAGATTTACCATCGGACTCTGGCATGAACCCCGATCATTGCCCAAGAATTTAGACCCAACCCTTCACCACCAAAGCAGGTACCCAAAAAGTCGACTTTTTGGGTACCTCCCAGGTTTACCAATTTAGACCCAACCCAGCACCACCAAAGCAGGTACCCAAAAAGACAAAGCCTAGAGCATTCCTAGGAAAATGCCAGAAAAGCCTTTGAAAATCTCATAAGCCAACAGAAAACGTGACAAAATCTACGAAAAAGCAAGGGCATGCAGTCACGCCTCACCCCACGGTGTCCACGGTGTGGGGTCGGCGGATTTTTTTCCGGCCAACTAACACAGGTATAATCCCAAACTGCTGGGGCCGTACGGGCTGGCAAGTGGGGAGGCGCGTCCGCATGTGTGAGTTCGATTGGTAAGGCGTTCTAGAGTACTGTGGTATGTATCAGCAGATGATGTGGCCTCTTGACACTTGGGATTATTAGTATGGCGGCTGGTCTCTTTTGTGTGACCTAAGACTTGCTGCAACTACTGGATGAACTATTTCCACACTACTTCTGTTTGTGTTCAGTTTGCTCCGTGGTGTGTTGATGGGCCAGATAGGTGAACGGGTCGTGCTCGTGGTGCAAACTGGCCAAGTCATCGGTCATCAGTGTCATGCGGCGTGAGAAGGTTCTTGTAACCAGAGAAAGAATACATTTTCGATGTGTTGTTGGTATCGAATCCAATCGGCTTGTTGCTTTTAACGCAACACAACACCTATAGCTTTTGTACACATGCAAATGTCTATTTGCGTTTGAGCGCCGAAGCTTCATCAAACAGATCCTTTCCGAGATTGTCATTGTTTTGTTTTTGTGTCCTATGTAGCCTTAGAACCTTAGAATTTCCCTGTATCCTTGGATGTTGCATTCCCTTGCACAGGTCTGAGCATCTGTCATTGGTCAGTGAAAAATCTCAATGGAGGTCGGATCGTTTACAATATATATATATATTTATGTGGTTTCTCGGGAGGCAGTTTTTCAGGCCACATTTTCACGGTTCTGGACAAAACAATTGATTTACTTGCCCTGTGCCACAGAAAGCAAGCTGTGTTCATTGTTAGGAGCATGTGCAGTGTTTTCTTGACTGCTTCAGTTTTCGTTGCCACTGATGAAGTCAATTTTTTTTGCAACATCAGACCATTGAACTGCAGGTTTGGGTTCGCAGCTGCTTTTAAAAGTAGGTTGCAACTCAATGTTTCACCCGCTGCTTAACTTGTAGAGGTGCGCTTTGTCGTGCGTGGCATGTAGCAGCAAAGCAGAGATCGTTTCGCTGTGTGCTTGAATGTGTTAAAACTGATTTCGAAACCAGGCGATACCATTGACCATGTCAGAGGCGCAATTTTGTTTCGTCAGCTTTCAGTGGCAACTGGCTCTTTTTTGCTCAACTGGAGGTAGATGTGCGAGCAATGCACTGGTACTCGCACTACCGGCACTCTGTATTCACAATGATACAGAGTTGCTTTGAAGACGATGGCGCTTCAGGACTGTTGACACCGACCTGTGCAAGTGATGCAAGTGACTTGTGGCTTTCACTTGTGCAGCCAGTTTGCAGCCAGCTTGCGCAAGGAGTTGTGATGATAGGGATCCAGCCTGGCTTGGAGCGGGTTATGACCTGCTTGGAGTGGCCCTGTATCCAACAGGATTTGTGCGAAGCTCAGATCTCTTGGAACATAAACATAACGAGGTGGCAAACACTTGAGCCCAGGAAGTCGGCGTTTGATGAGAAGAAGGCGCCCTTCTACGACAAGGGCAAACAACTCCTGGATTTTCGGAAGATCAACTTCAAACGAATTTGCCTCGAAGACCTGAGCAGCTTGGAATGGACTGGTACCTAGCCCGTTCTGATGTGTTTTGACAGGAGGATCACAACGCAAAGCAGCTTTTCTTGCGGTATTTTTTTTATAATGGGGTTTTGAATTCTGCACATTATTTCACTCTGATATTCTTTTGCACCCTTTGTGTCAGATGAGCCTTCCTTTGTCCCTTGGTGTATTTCCCCAATAGCCATGCTATGGGGTCTTGCAAAACTAATAGGCGGACGGGCGCCGTCGGAACACTGTCAGAGCTGGTGGGCGGATGGTGTCCCGGTCATATTGTGACGGTGTCCCGGTCGTGTTGCGATGGTGTCCCGGTCATATTGTGACGGTGTCCCGGTCGTGTTGCGATGGTGTCCCGGTCATGTTGTGACGGTGTCCCGGTCATGTTGTGATGGTGTCCGTTGTGACGGTGTCCCGGTCATGTCGTGGTCCAGTCGTGTTTTGATGGTGTCCAAGGAAGAGATGGTCGATGTCTTGAAAACGGCAGCTGTTTCCAGATTTTGTTTTTGTTTTTGTCCCGGTTTGAATCTAATTTGCCTTTGATCAGAGCTAAACATGTCGTGCACTTGTTGTGTCTTTTTTTGCAACTTGTTTGGCCACATTTTGTGATGTATTTTCAAGTAACAAACGTGCACCTTTGCTTTTGATTTCCCTGCAATGACTGAGAAACAGATAGAACGGATAGGACATGCTTGGGCTAGCGCCTGACCGGATGTGGGAACAAACAGAACATGCAGAAAGTGCTTGCATATATTTAAACAACAACATAGTGTATTTGGGCGTGAATTGCATCCTTCAGTTGTTTCAAGTAGAAGACTCTTCTCAACAGGAGAAAAAGCCATCAAAAGGACCTGAAAGTAAGGCTTCTTTTGCAGCAGCACTACTGACCACAGAGTAATTTCTATTGAACCAGCTTTGAGGCGACGAACTGGACGTGAGCACGAAGAAGAACAAGTTTGCCATCATCGCTTCCTGCTCGGACGATAACTTTGAAGCCGTCAAGGAGCTCATGCAAGCGCACAACAGGTCCACACCAGAGGGACATGGGAAGGTTCTCTGCTTAGCTGTGCACCTGGCCACCGCGAACCCTGCCGCGCATGGCACACCTGGAGCCTTGAGCCCTTTTGAATAAACCTCCGATTTGCTGCCACCAAGCATCAAACATCGAGACGTCTTGATCCAAGTGTCCCAACTTGTTCGGCTGAAATCGATGAACGCCCGAGCGAGCTGGCTTCCCGAGGTGCGCAAGGCATGGGCCACGGCCGAAGATGTTTACGGCGGCCGAAGCCATCCGCCGAAGGCGGGTGGATACGCAGCCCAGGCCGGCCGGGATCTTCAATGGGCGATGGGAGCAGTTGGGCAGTTGGGTTTCTCGTTTTTGGGTGGGTGAGCTCTGCAGATATGTTCATTGTTCCTGAGTTCCAGGTGCTTGTAACATTGTGCAAGTCAAGAACGCCCCTCTCCTTGTAAGAAGAAAAGCAGCATGAGAGATTGGGATTGGGTTTCCCACAGTTCATTTTTTTGTTGAACCTTGGGCGGTGGATGATTCGAGGAGGGATCATATTCTTTGTTCTCCAACGGGGAAGCTGGATTCATTTTTCAAGTGGGGGATAGATCTGGAATCGCACTGGAACCGGAAGCGGGTGTGGCGCCCGGGCTGGAATTTCAGCCACCGACCCCACCGAAGGATTCGACCTTTGCACAGTAGAGGGGTTTAGAAGAGTGGAAGAGTTAAACTGCTCGGGGAGCAACATCTTCGCTGTCCATGGCAGTGCTTCCGTCCAACGAAAGGATGTCGTGCAAGTTCGGGCGCACAAGCAGGGGGACATTGTGTCCTGAGCCAGTGCTGCACCAGCACTGCACGCCCGTCCTTCGTCCTTGTATGAGGCTCCGCCGACCACGCAGGCCGGGGAGAGTGGAGGAAGATTCAGCGGCTGCTTCCCGCAGCAGTTCTACCGAATCACGAACTTGGCATTGCAAGACCAGGGACTTCGATGACTTTGGGAGGGGATATGCTTATTCAACTTTTCTTCAGGGTGCACGAAACAAAACTGTTCCTGCATTGAAGCACATTTACATCTGACAATCCTTTTCCGATCTACTGTAAGTGAAATATTGCGTAGATTTGCTTAGGTTGCCCATCGTTGCACCCAGGTTTGGAATCCCCTTGCAGATATTTTTTTTTATACTTTGGAGCTCATCACCATAGTAATGGAGCTTCACATGCCTGGAAAGTCTCATGGACTTGGGACTCCTGCGCTAGCGCCTTGCACTTCTCCTTAACTTCACTCCTACGGACCCGATTTCCCACATGAGTCGAAAAAAAAACCCGGGAATATGTATTAAGTAAGGAATGTTCCCAGAGGTTTAGAAATCGCTTGGCCACCGCTTGGTATTCTGGTGTTTAAAGTGGGTATGTTACCTCGTCGCGCTAGCAAAACGCAGGGTTGCGCTAGGTTTGGCGCTAGGATCAAGTACTTAGGTAACTTAGAAAAGATTAACAAACAAGAGCTGATTGTAATGGTCACTCATTGGTGCACATACACACACACACACCCGCACAGGCACAAGAGCAGCAACTGTTTGAAAGGCAGCGCGCGCTGAAAAAGGCAGCAACTGTTTGTAAGGGAGTAACTGTTTGAGAGACGAGAAAGCGAGTTCTTGATCACAGACGTTTGGTGGCCTCATGCACTGGCAGGGAAGCGCGCTAGATCCGCGCTAGACCCGCGCTAGATCCGCGCTAGACCCCTTTGCAACTTTGACCACTTGTCCAAGTGCTTTCCAGGGTGCATAGTCTTGGCAACTTGTTTCTGTGTGCAAGAGGATGGCTACTTTCAGCTTCACATTTGGAACCATTGGACTCTGTAAGTAAGAACGCAGCTGTTAAAAGGGCATACACAACATACAACCATATACATGAGCGCGTGTTGGGTACATGATGGCCACCGCTTGGAATTGCTGTGACTTCAACCTAGGATAATGATTTTAGAACGGGCTTTCTTTTTCAACTCGACATGCCAAAAACGGTCCGTGCTTAAACAGATCAGCCGGGACCGCCAAGCTGATGCCCCAGCAACGGCCCAGGCGCCGCCGCGCGCCACCGTGGAGCCGGCGGAGCCGGCGGAACGAGCAGCTGGAGCCGATGAGCAGGCGGTGGTCCAAGCGGCGAAGGGTCCTGTCGGGGTGTGAAGGAAACGATGCCTGTTTTGCCTGTGGATCCCTTCTTCAGAAGTAGGTTTCGGTCGTTGTAGCCAAGGTCGTGGTTGGATCAAGGCTGAGTGCAGAAGCGCCTCACAAGAAGGGTAGGTGAACATTCTTTTGGTTGACAAACTGTAAAAATTACTGATTGGTAGGTGAACCATCTATTGCGCTTGCTGAAATCAGCACCGTTCAGTCTTCATTATGAACTGGGTTTGTGGTTGTTTGGGAGAGACGAAAGAACAAGAGCTCAAAACTTCAAACTACTCATTGTGAGTGGTATGATGAAAAGTGAGTTCACTGGGCCAACTGCATGAAGACTGTCCGTGATATTGGGAGTCTTGCATACTCGACGTCCCAATCAATGAACATAAGGATGCGAACCGTGTACCTGTGGGAACTGAATGTTGTTTTCTTTAACAAGAGAGGAAGCCGGAATCAGATAGGATGATTGATCAGGCATTGGAATTCAATAGAAAATGAGGGCCTGGGGCATTGAAGTGAAATTCCAGCGCCCGACTCGAAAGCAAAGAAGCAAGGGTTCGGACAACCCGACATGTAGGGTTCTGTAATGTTTTCCGAATCCTCAGCGCAGTACACGGGTGAAGAGGGAGTGGAAGAGTTCAACTGCTTGCCGGGAAGCATCATGTCTGCCGCAGTCGATGACAGTGCATCAGTCCGGTGAAAGGATGTGATGTGAAGGGCTGTTTAAAGGCCTTTTCCAAATGTAGGAGACAATGTGTCCACTGCACTGAGTGGTAGCCAACGCCGCAAAGCCTGTACTCGTCTTCACATCCAGCAAGGGGGTGGATTCGGCGGTTTCTGCCTGAACCTGCTGGTGATGATACTTTAGCACATGAATTTATGCAGGTGTACGCAATACAGCATGTTCCTTCTTTTTGTGTGGGAAGGCAAACGCACCTGAGATCTCCATAGTCCAACGCTCCTTCGAGCTCAACACAATTGTTTCATCCAATCCGCTTGCAGAACTTCCACGGAGCTCCAATTGCTGCAAAATCTCCAGGACTTTGGGCTCCTGAGTTGCTGTCTTGCACTCTCTCCTTTCAGCTTCATGGCTGTGCCTGTTTTTTCCCGGTCCACCTCACCGGACGACCCCTGCACACCTCTAAAGATTTGAGGGTGAGTCATATACCCAGAAAACAAGGACAGGACACAAGATCAAAAGTGTTCCCCTCTGTTGATCAACCTTAGACGCAAGGGTCGGAGAATATTGGAGGCAAAGGGGTCATTGAGGCTTTCCAGGTGACATGAACGATAGCAAGGCGCAGCCAGCACAGTCCGAAAGGCAAGGCCACAAGGAAGTGAAGTGAGTCAAGCGGGTCAGCTCAATCTAGCAACTGCCTTTCACTTAGAGCCGGAAGAGCTGGAAGTTGGAAGAGCCTGATGCGTTTCAACTGACAATTTGGCCCTCTCTGCTTGTTGCCTCCGCAACATTCTTTTTCGGGATAAACCATTGGGCAGCTGGTCATGAAACCAGGCAGTTTCGGATGTGATGTGGGTCCTGCCAGAGTCTTCGTCAACGTCACCATTTCTGAAAGAGGATCGGGTGGTTGCATCGTTTGCTTCAACAAGAAACAAACAGAGAAGCCCTGCAGGCAAACAGGGGAGAAAATACGAGTGCGCCATTGACATCTTTTGTGGAGACATCGGGTGTCAACATGTCGCTTCACAACCGTCTCACAGCATCAGCAAGACATCCAATCTCAGATAAGGGAAGCGTACTCAAGCGCACTCTATTTGGTGCGTCAAGATGCCTTGTGCTCACAAATCCAGATTCATGCCACCAAACCGTGACAACTCTTGGTGCCCTTGCCAGGCGGACAAAGCTGAAGCCGCTAAATGTGGAGCCCTCAGACATCTCACACACTCATAGACAGGTGTTGTGGTTTCCTTTCCTTCCCAAACGGTGCTTTGTAGCTCTGCACGCGATTGGCGGAAACATTGCAAGAACAAACAGGTTGACGTTTGCACCCGACTGCGGCAATTTTTTGTCGTTTGAATCCAGACGGGGATGGTTGAATGCTGGGGGACACTTCGCTGTACTATTGTGCGATTTCTTCAATTCGTTCCGAGTTTGGCTCCACCAATGCATAGAATCTCGATGTTTCGATGCATTTGGATCGCGTGATCTTCGACTTTGCAAGAAGCTGGACTTCGAATTTAAGCGTAGGGTCGTTAGAAGTGAAGTAGATGTTCGAAGTTGAGAGGCAACGCCAGATCAAGGTCCCATCAATTCCCTTGTTGGAAGCTATGTAAGCCGGTCCATGGCTAGCCGTCTCTTCAAGATTCTTCCGCCGTACTGATCAGATTCTGGGCTCTTCGGCCGCCCCGCGAGGCAGCGACATCTTCGAGGCTGTTAGGGGGAGCAAGTTGGGCGCCCTTCGTCATTTGGTGCGAGAAGACCCGGCCGCGCTGCAGAAGACAGACAGCACAGGCCACGCCCTCAGGACCGGACTGGGTGGTGGAAGTGGAGGGGACTGGGTTTGTGTTTTTGATGCTTCAAGCATCTTTTCAATCAAAGTTGAAAAGATGACATGTGTCCCCGGACCATTTGTTTCGTGCATGAGCAGAACGTGTCTTTTCGCAAGAAACGTTGCAAATCTAATGCATCCACATCTCCTTCCCAATAAGTGGAGTAGTTTCCACCCCGAGGAGGAGTTTCCACCACGAAGTGAGCACGAATTCGAGTGTGGATCTGTGTAGGACTAAAATCGTTGTCCTGTTTCTGTATTGTTTGTGCTTGAGTCCTGTCAACAGCTTGCTGCTTGAGATTCACTTCGGCTCGACCCGGATCTCTTTTGCCGCTGGTGCTTCGAGCTGGTGACCCACCAAGCAAACCCGACCGGCTCCACGGGCCGCCCAGGTGATGCGCCGGCCAAGGCAGCGACTTATGGCCAGTTTTTACTGAAGGCCAGGGCCGAAGTAGATGCGAAGAACAAAGAAGGCCTGGGGCCCTTGAAGAATGCTTCCAATGGGGCATGCGGTGCGCGAACAGCTGGTATTGCGCACCTGACCCTGCTTTGTTTGAGATTATGTTGTGGCATGAACATTTTGATCAGGTGTGGTGCGGTTGCATCCATGCCCGAGTTCGATTGCGCTGTTACCAGAATCAACGAAGCAAAACATCATCTCATTCTGCCAGTCTAGGACTTGACTCTTCCAACACATGAGCCAGGGGCCTCGGAGGTTTTCGATGGTGGAGGAGGGCGGGCGCCGCACGGGTGGAGATGCAGAAGTGGAGCCTAGACGTCGCTAGGAGTCTCGATCTTCGGTGGTCAGGAAAGAGACCGTTGGACTATGCGAGGCGAGACAAGAGCATGTGCACTTTCTGTGTGTTTCGGTGAGTTCTTCGGCGGTTTTTTGTCAATACTTTTGGTTTGTTTCGTCATACTTCACCCAGTTCAGCGTCACCATGCAGCAAGTCAGTAAGTAGGAACTCGATGTGGGGCAGCTCAAAAATTTATTCCATGGGTATATAGTCTCACCGGTTGGAATACTGTATATTTTTTGGGAGTGATGTTGGTGGAACTATATTTGAGCTTTGAGCGTAGTGGGTTCCATTGCGCTGTTTCCAGAACTGATGAAGCAAAGCTTCAGCTCACGCTGCCTTTTCTGCCAGTCTAGGACTTGACTCTTCCAATGTGACATAACTGACATAACTGACATGGTGGCGATACTCTGCAAGAGAGGGCTTCTTGGGCAAGTCATCAAATTGCAAAAGTGAATCTTGAGCGGATCCTTATTTTTTTTTTACCATAGATTCTTCATGTTTCTTCCCTTCCTTCCTGTGGAAGCTTGCGGATTGAATCATTGAACATCTTTAGCAAGCACATGAAACAGTTTTCTGGCAACCCTCAGAGTCCACCGAACTTCACACTGTGGGCACAATTTTTTTGGCATTTTTCCCGCCTTGAGCCGCTCCTTCGGCCTCGAATCGGCTCCGACTCCGCGGCTGGGGCACAGCCGCTGGGGCGCCGCCGCCCGCCACTGTCGAATCCGAGGCTGGACAGGGCTGCACAAAGCTACCGTGGAGGGCCACGCGAGCTGCGTTGAGGTGTTGATTGCCCGCGGCGCATCAGTTGAGGCGAAAACCGACGATGGCCAGGGGCTCGGGGGGTTTCCGATGGCGGGAGGAGGGCGGGCACCGTACGGGTGGAGACGCAGAAGTGGAGCCAAGAAGTCTCTAGGAGTCTCGACCTGCAGTGCTGAGGCGAGACACCGTTGGTTGTTGCAAAATTCTGGAGCAAGCAGGAAGTGGTGGAGTTGCTCGAAAGTGCCGTTCCTTGGCTGCGCAACTTTCAGAATCCTAGAGCACAGAAACCGGGTTTGTCGTCCTTTGGTGAGTACTGAGTGTACTGCAGAAAAACAACAGTTCGCAGGCTTCTTCAATTGCAATTTTATCATATTTTCTCTCAGGCTTTCCGTTTTTGACTACTCAATTGGTTGGTTTTGCAGCTGAGGGAGCTCAGCGGTGAGAATGCCGTTGGCATGTCAGAATGAGAGCTCGGCCAAGCATTGTTCCGGGTGTGGAGCGCAAAAGATTGTTCTTATGACTTCTTATGCGATGGCGAAAGCGGAACAAATTTCGCCAGCCAGAAGCACGTCAGCGTGCGAGCCAAGTAGGAAAGCAACTCCATCTAGGGACTTGAATCCGTGCTTCCCACCCGGTCTTGAACGCTTTCAAATTGGAGCTATGCCGGAAGGAAGAACACCCTTTGCGACTCTTTATCGCAGGGTCAAAACACTGGTGCAGTGGTTTCTAGTTGCAACACATTGCAACCCCCCTTCAAAGCAGCAAGCCATGAACCAACCAGGTGGGCGCCACCCATCCTGTGACCTTCTTAGCCGCACCGCTCAAGGGAGCGAAGCTGGATGAGAAGCGGCGAAAAGGGGAGGGAATCAAACACCGCCCAGCCGGGCCGGGCCGGGCTGGGCCCCCTTTTTTCCTTTTGGATATCCGCAAGTACTGGATGGGCCTGGGCGTGGATTCATCATCTCGAGAGGCAGCACCTGTCCAAGAGTCAAAGGTTTTCGCACCTGGTTTTGGGGCGAGCTGTGTCTTTTTTTCCGGAGATTTCTTTTGTGACTTGGTACCAATTTTCTTGGACGCTACAGCACATTGCTCTTGTTGAATCATTGCTTTTGACAATTGGTGTTTTGCTTTCATTTTGACAACTTTGTGACCAACATTTCGGCTCTTTGCATAATCAGGATAAAGTACACCATTGTTCAAGATGTAACTGAATGTAGCTGCTCTCCAACTCTCAGCGTGATGGGCTTTCAATCAGATTAGATTTGACAACAGCGCTACTTGTCTTGAGTTTGTCTCCAGAGTCCTCCCAACAGCAAATTGTTTCTTGGTGTTCTTTTTTGTTTTGAGCCCTCTCAGGTTTTGTGAGTCCTCTCAGAACTTTTCTTTTCAATTGACTTTGAGTGTTAGTTTCTGTCAGTTTCTCAGCCTTGTACGCCCGTTTGTGCGCACACTGCTCTGATGCGATGTTTCTGCTGCCGGCCCTGTTGGCGTTGACGGCCAATGCCGAAAAGCAGGCGGGGTGTCGAGCCGCAGGATGCTTTGCACTCCCCGAGGACAGTGTTTTCATGAGCCACCTTCTTGGGACGCTAATTCGAGCGCATGTAGCGCGTAGAGCGAGCAAGACAAGGCCCCCCCCCACAGTGGCTTTCTTCATTGGGAAGGAGACTTGGACACATGTAGCTCGACATATAGGTTGGGGATGTAGATCGCAGGCGCAAACACCTCCGAAAAGCAAACTCAAGGTTTATCAGTTTAAAACTACAAGTCCTTTTGAGCTGTTCACAAAAGAATGTCGTTTTTTTGGCTGTTCACCTCCAAACACTTCCCCCGAATTCACCGCGACTTCAGCGCACCTGCAGTGAGACAGCTCTTCCTTCGGCATGGAGGGGCGTGGCCGCCGGCCACGGGGCACACGGCTGAGGCTCCCTTCAAGGTCACCGCCTCCGTGATCAGCGGCTGGCCGCGAACGCCCTCAGAGGCGGCGTTGGCGTGCAGCATGGGGCCGGAAGAGAGGGGCAATGAGGGGCAGGTGGTAGAGGTTACATGAGGTTACCAGGTATCACAGAAATAGGTGGGTGTCCATACCCTACACTAAAAACCAATGTTGTTATGAGAAATGGTTTCTTTGGATGCGAGGCCGGGCCCTTCTATTTGGTCATGGCTCAACCCAGATACTAAATCCCATGCACAGGCTGTGGTCGTTCGACTCGACTCGATGTCCTTTTTTCCTTTTTTTGCTCATCCAAAGGACCTCCATTTTTGGGGGCCATCGACCACCCATCGACCATGTTTCGCCCTTCCGTGGGAAGGGCGATCCGATGGGTCTGATGGTTGCGATGGTCCGTGAGCTGCGACCGCCAGGCTCAGTCGCTGGAATGGCTCCGCGACGTAGATCCCGGTGAGGCGAGGCGACGCCGCACGACTCTTGGTGAAGACAGAGCTCCTGGAGTTGAGAGGGAGGAAGTTCTGGCTCTGTATACTGTCACCGTTGGGCATGTCAGGTATATGTTTCGACTTAGCACCTGTCATACATACATAAATTGATAAATTAGAAGAAGATTGCTTTTTTCCCCTCAATGGGTGCATTCTCCCCATTTGTCTTGATCCAATGACAGCTTTAGACTGCTTCAGCAGACACGCTGCTCCAGCGTGCACAAACTTCAGAGCACCAGCAGCCTTGAGACCAGCTGCTGCGAGCCTGACGACAGCATCGGGAGTCTTCCAGATTCCTCGTCCGGAGCCGGAGCTTGGAGAGCTCTCACGGGGAGTTCCTCAACCTTTTTGACTCTCTGCTAGTGATAGTGAGAGATGAGTTGAGATATTTGGGCCCACCAAGCATTGGATATGTGATGAGATGTGGCCCCGTCGGCCCCTTCAATAACACTGGACAAGAGTTGGGCGATGCGTTGGGGAGACCAGGCACTGCCAAAGACAGATTCACCGCGAAGAAGCCAGAAGCAACGCAGCACAAGTGATGCACCTTTTATGAATTGAACATACAAAACCACTGTAGTTTAGATCTTTCAACTTATCAGACTGACCCTTTCTTTGGGCCAATTGCTCCTACAGAAGTTCCATTGCTTGGCCGAGCTGTGCATTGTTTGCAGGCTGCGACCTGGCTAGGCGCGGGTTCACGGGAACATGTTGGTCAAAGATGTTGGTCTTGGGAGGTGGGATGGGCGGCTTTGAAACAGCAACGAGAGGTGGCATCAGAGGTCCACCCACTGGGAGCATGTGGGAGCATGTGTATTGGTTGGAGCATGGAGTCAAAGGGGATCATGAAAACTCGGAGTCAAAGTAGTCGAACCCGCGCCCCGGCACCCCGCGCTTGTCCTTTCTCAGTGTACAGCACCCGCCCATGCTGCGCAAATGGCTCAAGCCTCATGCCATGAGAGTAGATAGTCCAGTCAGTCGGAGAGATAGATTCATCATCTGCACCTGTCCACATGCTCTTCTCTTTCAGCCAAGAAGATTTCCACCAGCAATTCGAACAAAACTCGTCGGTTTGCATCAATAGCAGTCCAATGCTACAGCCCCGCCAGTTGTGCTTCGTTTGTGTGTTCTTCCGGGGTTCTTCCACCAGCAGCTCTTCCACCACACGCCCCCACCCCGTATCAGGTTTCGGGGCCCGGCGGCCACACCCACGTGGACCCGTCGAGACGAACTCGGCGTGGCGCTTCTGTCGGGGGGACCCGTCGTACTGTATGGGACCATGGCGGTGAACGTGCAAGATGGCAGCACCGATGCGGGCGCGGATGCCAGCAGCGTGACCGCGAAGGCACCGGGCCGTGGCTGCTTGTGTGGCGGGGTGGGAGGGGTGGGGAGTCGCTTCGCTGTGGGTTGGGGATGGGAGGCTTGGAGGGAGGAGGAAGGTGTAGGTTGAGATACTGAGATAAAGGTGAATGTGATGACAGAGACGATGACCAGGTATATTGGAGTTTGGCAATTCAGTTGATCGAGCTTGCTGATCAACCCAAACAAAGAGACTCACAGTATCATTTGGCTTCTTTTCCTTTTGTACCATCAAAGCACCCCTACTTCCTGTTTCGAGCCCTAAGAACAACCGATTTGCCTTGGCACCACCCTTCACGTCGTCCCGGCTCCACACCGAACTCCGCTCATCGGTTCAGGTCTTCTCGTCTCATCACAGCTCGTGGTCGGTGCACAGCTCCGTCCCCTTCGAGCTCTTAGAAATTCCATCCACCAAGAACCACACAGCCACACCCGTGGGCAGCGAGGCGGGTGGCGGCGAATGGGGCGGGCAGCATGTCTTCTCCAAAAATGTTGGCGTGTTGGCGTGTTGCTTTGTATTGGTTCAATGCTTAGGTCTGCCGGTCTTCCCTTTGTGAACCACTGCCAGCCGTTGGCCGATCGACCCGTTGGCATCGCTGCAGGTGTTCGTCTTCGGCGGCTATGACGGCCAGAAGAATCACAACGAGTTGTACGTCTTCGATCTTCCCTCAATGGAGTGGAGGCAGCCCGAGGTCCTAGGCCGGACTAGCCCGAGGTTTTGAAACAAAATGAACAACGATGGCAGGAAGAAGGAGGTGACTGTCAGGAAGAAGGAAGATGTTTGTGTAAACTTCTTCAATGACCATGTAGTTTGCTCATATTCTGTAGGTGTTTTCTTTTTGTTGGTTTTCATACTCTTGGACTCCAAGACTTGGAGATTTTGCTTGTGACACCTTGAACTTATAGTCTGATCTTGATGTGCGCCTCACATGTTGCTTGCGGATGATATGCAGAACTGACAGGTACCAAGCCCAGTGGCCGAAATGGACATTCGGCCACCCTCTTGGGTGAGAGTATCCTGATCTTGGGCGGCTGGCTGGGGAATGGGCCGCTGGCCGCTGGCGACATGCACCTGCTGAATTTGCTCCTCGAAATCCACTGGGGGTGCGGCCATCACCGGACGGTCGTTTGCCGGGTCGCTGCGTTGGTGTTCCAACCGCCTCATTGGGGGTTGGGGGACCATTCGGGGGAGACCGGAGACCTTGTGGGGAAAGGGTATATGCAAGGTATGCGGATGTATATGCTATGCAGTCAAGCTTCCCGTCCCCAAGCATCACCCAAACCCTTTTGGCTTCACTTACCTTCGAGTCATCAGTCCCCAAGCGTTTCTCGCTGCTTTTTGACGACCTACAGTGACCCAGTGACCTCCAAAATACATAGGTTGCGCAAGCAATACCCTGGCAAGCAGGACCCAGTGGGTTCATTGGACATTTTTTTTGAGTTCGGTGGCGTTCTAGATGGCAAGTTCTACCTATCTAAATCCATTTCAATTGAACCTGCGTTAGCAGGAGCTGCGCGCCTATTTTCAGCTGCTAAAAGGGTCTTCGGTGGACAGTGTTCATGTCCAAGTGTTCTCAAGTGATCATGTTGATCATGTGCTGATGTCAAACCAAGAGTGCTTTTTACATAGGATGTCCCCATGATGCACTCCCCCTTGCAGCTTTGAAGCAATCCGCAAAGGCCTTTTCAGGCAAAAGCTCAAGACCCTTCAGAGGTCATATACATCACAGACCTCGTAGCTCTCGTCACTGTCAATGTCGGAGGCTGTACCACGAACATCGCGTGGTCCAAGTCTCAGCTGATCCCACTCTTGCTGAGACATGTTCAGCGGCGCAAGTGGCTCATCAGCTTCAGTCAGAGACTGCAGAGCATTCGTGGCCTCTTGACCTGGTCCTCCAGGTGGCCCTGCAGTGAACATCTGACTTCCCGCTGCACTGCGGCCACGCGCTACCGCTCCACCTCTAGCGTAGCCCTTGCCACTGCCTGAGCTCTGCTGACTCGCGTGGCTGCCGTCCTGAGCCAGCGTTGAGTCAGGGGTTGAGAAGTTAGTCATTGTTGTCGGCAAAGTCGACGAGATAGTACCACTGCCCGAGTCCTCACCAGGAGCAGCGGCTCCACCAGTCGCTGTTGCCACATAGCATGGTGTGCCATTGTCCGTGGCACCCAGCGTGGAAGCTCTGGAGCAGGCCATCGTTCGAGCTCTATGGCCTGTCTCATGAGGTCATTTCGATGATAGAGCCTGTTGCCTACCTACGCCCAGTACCGGTTCAGTGGCCGGTGGTAGGTCCCAATTCTTCTCAGACTCAGTCAGTGCCTCCAATGCTTGTCGGAGTCCTTCAGGAGCTCCAGCCCAGCGCTCTGCTGGTGGCGTCGGAGGTGGTGGTTTTTCGATGACCTTCGTGGTCGGGGCCCCAGCATCTGATGCCAATGCCGTTGATGCAGATGCTGTTGATCTCATGGGTGGTCTCATGCTCATTGTCTTCGGAGGCGCCGCCATCGAGCTCCCTGTCGCTGAGGTTCCATAGCCAGACGACGCAGCTCTTTCCATCCTCTGCGCCCTGACCTGAGCAGCTTCGGCCGTTCTCATGTCCTTGGGCATGTGGAGGTGTTGCGGCAATGTCTCCGTTCTCCGAGCCCACTCACCAATAAAACGCTCACCCACATAGTAGCTTGCCACTTCAGCATCTCTGGCAGGCTCTCTCAACTCAAAGAAGGTGTAGCCGCGTAGCCAATCCAGCGGCCCTCAACCTTGTTCTCAATGCCGTCCTCCCTTGTCGGAGGGTCCACCCATGCATCTTCTGAGGGTCGTCCAGGCTGCTCACCTGCAATGTATTTGATAGTCGCTCGACGACCAGTCAGCGCTTGTTCATCACGAAGTGGATAGAAACTGTGGATCGGATGGCACCGTTGGTACCTGTACTTGCAATGTACACGCACCACAAAGTTCCCCACAATCAGCCAACGATCGGACGATCCCACTGGCGGCGCATGATATGGTGGATGCCACCATGGTTCACTTGGTCGAGCCCGCGGACGCTCTGCTCGCAGCATCTTCACCATGGCACACGGTCGCTTGCTGCGCGATGCAGCCATCCGGGAGCCCGTTGGGCTAGGGTCAGGAGGGTGGTACCCAGCAGGAGGTTCATGTCGTGCCCTTCCTGATCTTTCACTGTGGGTTCATTGCGGGCCCTCACAGTGGCCTCCGTACCTTTTGGAGGTACGCCCCCCGGGGAGAGTTCATCTTCCTTCTCCCATCTTTTTCCAATCTTTCTCAAGAGTGTCGTGCCAAGGATCATTAAGCATGCTGCAGCTACATCCAATGCTATCGTCAACTACACTGGGCGCACAAAGATCAGCGCCGCGACAATCACCGCCAATGCCACTTTCAGGATTTGGCCGTCATCTTCTCGATCACTTTCCGTGGCTTGCAGTGTTTTAACCATCTTGATCTTTGGTGATCTCAGGCCGCCTGTGTGCAGGATGTCGCAAAGGCCGCTCCTTGAAGGACTTTCGTCAAGCCATCCGCAGGGAGCTCAGTTCCCTTCACATGATGCACTGTCCAGCCACTTGCCGGACATGCCGCCGCAGATCTTAGGCCAGCAGTGCGAAGGCGTAAATGACGCGTTCTCCAAGCACCAACATCGCCCATGCACAGACTCAAGGCACTGCGATTATCGCCATAGATGCGCCGTTGCGCTTCAGACCTGGTCACGAAGTCAACATAACAGCCACACCTTCTGCCTGTTGATGGCATTCCATGTAGCTCATGAGCTCTGCTTCTGCTGTTGACCCGGTGACAAACGGCTGGCTCGATGATGACCAAAGCACTGCGCACCCAGCCGCACTGATCGTGCCCTGCACGGACTTATACTGCTCTCCAATGGGTGCAAAAGATGCATCGGAGTAGGCTTCCACATGGCCTAGTCACTAGTCCTCTGGGACACTTGAGCCCTCCCATATCTTCAAATGAATTTGTACCGTTGTCTTCAGGTAGCCCAAGAAAGACAATCTTGGCTTGAAGTGTGACCTCTGCCAGCTTGCGGTGCATCTGGCGACTGAGGACACGTGTTGCGTGAGAGATGCCCGGCTGCGTGCGTTCTGAGGGCCACTGCAGCTCCCCAACCTTGTGAGCAGTCAAACGCTTCGGCGCCTACAGGAATGCTGTCGTAATGTCAGTTGTGCCCAGTGCCCATTCTCTTTGAGCTGCCATCGCAACCAACAGTCTAAGGGTCACCGAATCCAAGCCGCCTGTCGAGACAGTCGCCGACTCGTCTGGAGTGCCGAAGTTGCCGCAACTAACAATGCGAGCTTTTCTCTGAGCACATGGAGCCTTCCTCGAACAGATGAGTTTCCCAGGGATCACCTCCACCGCAGCACCACCAGCTATCAGTTCATTGACCTCCCAAAGGTGTTCTTCTCTTCAACGTTTTGGTGTTTTCCAAGGTCTCAACCTCGTTTCCGATGGGCTGTAACCACAGCTGCTTTTCAGCAAGGACCTGTTCCCAACCAGGTAGGTCTGCAGCACCTCCGTCTCTTGCACTGCAGCTTCTTGATTTTCGGCTGACAACGCCTTGACCACTATCTTCATTTCCTTCATATTGTTCTGTGCCTGGGTCTGCAACCATCGAACATCACGGTCCACACCACTATCACCTGCAACCCCCAGGGCGAGCTCATCCACAAGCACTTGTTGCGCCCCTCGAAGGACTTCTTGAAGCCAGTCCGACTTCCTTGATAGCGCATTGAGAGCATTTACCACTTGCGCTTGTGCTTCACACTTTGGATCACATTCTTCGCAAAACCCGCACATTCGCTTAACTGCAGCCCGTGCTTGACCAGTCCACTCCCCCCCAGTTGCTTCTACTGGTCGGTATAGCCGATGTGGCGGTTGCTTTCCAGTTACGCGAAAGTGATGCTGAACAAGGTCCCCGTCGGTGATCTCCACCAAGGCATGCTCTTCGATCTTGCCCTCAAACTCTTCAGCCTGATCCGCGCAATGATCTGCATCTTCTGCTTCAACATCTGATGCAGGTTGTGGGATGTCATCAAATACATCTTCGGCAGCTGCCTTCAGCTGTTCCATCCTATGTTCTCCACCAGGATCAAGCCTCTCCGATCTCGGCTTGTCTCACCCTCGATGTCCTCAGGCTCGAGCGCACCATCCATGCTCTGCTCGCCGTTGACCGCGCTTTCCGCGTCCAAGGTCTCCTCTTCTCCTACATCGAGGTCCTAGAGGTCAAACAGTCCATGGCCAGCTGGTTGGAGTTCTTCCGAAGATGCACCTCGGTCTGACTCATCCGGCACCATTGGCAGGTCCTCAGGTCGAGCATTTCGAAGGCGTGCTTCTTCTTGAAGTTCCTGCGACCAAAACGGGTTGATGTTGGCCATGGGGACCAACAACTCACAAAAGTGAGGTGGACTTGCTAAGGCCACAAGCCACCTGTGCAGCTTGGGCTCATAACCTGCGTTAGCAGGAGCTGCGCGCCTATTTTCAGCTGCTAAAAGGGTCTTCGGTGGACTGTGTTCATGTCCAAGTGTTCTCAAGTGATCATGTTGATCATGTGCTCATGTCAAAACAAGAGTGCTTTTTACACAGGATGTCCCCATGATGCAGAACCAATTCACCCCTTCAAAGAAATTGATGGGCTCTCTTTAGAACCAGACCCCCTGACCCTGTGACCGTCTCGTCTCCCACCAGGAACCCCTTGAAATGGCTGGCTCCGCGCTTCTCGGGCGAGCCGCCGGGGCCATGCAACATGCACACCGCGGACCTGGTGGGGAAGAACTTGTATGTCTTCCGCGGCGGAGATGGACGTGCGTATCTGAATGATCTGCATGGCTTGGACATGGAGACTTGGTGGCACACCAGCTTCAGTGAGGTGGGTGGATCGGATAGGTTGGACGGTTAGACGGTTAGATTAGCTTCTAGTTTTTTTAAAAAACGATGATGGAGGCTGAAGAAGAGGTGGTGGATCAGTCTGGTTGGATCAGCTTGAAGGTTAGATCAGTGATGATGGTGATGGAAAAACATGGCCCAAATCAGTGAGGGGACTTTTTCAGCTTTTTGATGATGCTGATGGAGAGGATGACATGAGAAGGTTTGTTCTTGCATTTCTTGCTTGCTAGCAAGTTCGGTTGAAGTGAAGTTTTAACTAAACGATGAAATGATGACACATGAAGCAACTGCCACTTGTGATCTTCACATCTCCTCACTTCGAGCGGCAGCGGGGCGGATGGAGCCCATTCTGTAGCCCTTCGGCTTCTTTCTCTCTCAGGACACCGACACGTGGTTTCCAGTCAAGACCACCGGAGAGCAGCCGCCTCCACGGGCGAATCACGCCTCGGCGGTGGATGATTACAAGCTCTACATCTTTGGGGGCTGGGATGGCACCAAGAGGCCTCTTGGTGCTCACCATCTCACCAGCTCAAACAGGGAGGAGTTGGAGTGAGTAGGGGAGTGGAGTGCGTCAGTGAGAGTTTTTGGAGTCTTCCTTTGGGGAAACGGTTTGGGGGGGAATTTGGGAGTCACAGGTTTGGAGTTTTGGTCTCTTTTGGGCTGAATCTTTGGGGTTTGTTCTCGGCTGTTAGGTTGGGATAAGTTGGTTAATGAGAGGTTCGGTGGGACTGGTTGAGCGGTAGGGCGGTTTGGGAGTGGGTCTTAGGCTAGTTCTTTTGGGTTTTGGGATCGAATTTTGGTGAGGTGTCTGGTTTTTTTGAGTGCTTGGGTGGAGTGGAGTGGGTTGATATGGTGGTGCTCGACTTGGCTCGATGAGTTTCTTTCTTGAAGCTGGCTCTCTGTACATACTGAAACACTTGAAACTGCTTATGTGGTAGTTATTGAATCCAGAACTGTAAGAACTATTAGATCTATGAGAACCTCTGCAACTTGGTGAGATACTCGTGGCTTATGAGATGATGATCGATCCCGCGTTGATGAAGGTTAAATGACCTCTATGTGCTCGACACCCGCGACAATGTCTGGACCATGTTGAAGCCCAGTGGATACACCCCGCAAGCGCGGGCGGGCATGACATTGTCCATAATCCGTGATTGCTTGTAGCTTGGCCGAGGGGCCTGAAGGGACCCGAAGAAGAACGTGTGAATGTGTCAGTGAAAATTACTGTATGTGACGGTACTAAAGTTCGGATTGATTGAGTGCAATTGAAAGTTTCAGTCTAAGATTCTGAGATTTGTTATGGAAAGAACATGAGTGCAATTCACTCAACCTAAAGAAGGCCTCAGTCACAAAGGCTTTGAACCTTGGGGGAGGAGCCAACTTTGACCATGGCTCGCGCATTGGAGTTCCCACCTTCCCCACAAAAGGACAAAAGGAGCCGGGCCTACTACCCATGGAGGAGAAGTATAGATCCAAGACCTTTTGCTGTCTATGGCTGTCATAAACAACCTTTTTTTGATCATTTTTTCGATTCGTTCCAAACAAGCAAGAAGATCAAGAAGATCCCTCTGACTCCTCTCGCGGCCTCCGTCCCGCCGTGGTGCCGTGGCATCCGGGGCACCGTTCGTGGCAGCGACGTCCCCGCCGCGGCGCCGCGGCCTGTCGAGGTATCTCTTTGGAGGCTCTGGGCATACGACCCGATGCTTCAACGACGTGCACGTCTACGATCCCAAGGAGCAGGTGGGGTCGGACCTGAGGGGTCGGAACTTAGTGCGGTCAGCGCGCGCTTTGCGAAAAGCGGCTTAGATGTTGGCCGGTGGCGGTGGCGGCTTCGCAAAGATGTCATGTTTGGTCATCTTGCGAAGATATAAATCATGGTTAGGGAAGACCTAACCCCAGCCACCACCTTCCCATCATGTTCACCTGCTCACTTGCAAAGCTGCAGCCACTTCTCTGGAGAGGCCACTCATGCCCCATTATATACTTCTTATAAACATCATCACCGTTGTGAGGCCACGATTCTTTTTTCCCCGCACGATCGTTTCGCCCACGATCGTTCAGCTTTCTTCTCCACATCGTCATCTTGGATTCTTCGCTGGCGCCACCTGATGGCACCACCACCTCCCAAAAACCAAACCCCCAAATAGATGGAAATTGTCAACCCAAACGAAAAAACATGTATTGGAAACGGCCCCCGTACTCTATATGGGACCATCCAAAGCTGCCGCCACCTCCCTAGGCCTGGTTCCTCTGTGCCCAAGCCGACCTCGGCGACGGGCGCGGCGTGGGTCCCGCCCGGCGGGCGGGGCACGTGGCGGTGGCCGTGGACCGGCGGCTCTTCGTGAGCGGCGGCGCCTGTGGGACGCAGTACTACGGCAAAGGCGCGGGGCGCGGTCGCCGTGGGGAGGCCGTGAGGAGGTCGTGGGGAGGTCGGAGCAAGGAAGACATGTGGCTGGCTGTTTCCGTGGATCTGAACAGAATGGGCCTGCTAGTGAGAAACTGTCTGAGAAGATAGGAGTGTTTCACTATGTAAAGCCAGTTAACAATGTTAAACAACATACGACATGCACAACATCAAGGAAAGGCAGAAGCTTCTTAGCTTCTTGTCACTTTGTTTGGTTGCTCTTTGAGGGAGCATTGGATCCTCTGAGGATGGTGCATGAACGAACAGGTGCTAAGCGCGTCAATGTGATTCTCCAAACTGTTCTGTTTCGTTGATATGCTTGGCACCTTCAGTGCATCTCCAACATGTAATTGCTCTCTTCTGTGGCCTCGGTAAAAGAATTGTAAACATCTAAGTCCGGCCATTGAATTCCAACAACCCCTGATAGCCGGCCTTGTTCGACGGAAAGGCAAGTGGTACATCCTGGACACGGACGCGCCGCCGCCCATCGAAGTCTCCGCAGCGCCGGCCTGTGCGGAGTCCGTGAGGAGGGTCATGAGCGAGTACTTGAACAAGGACCACCTGACAGCCGGTGCTGGCCGTGACCTGTTTGGGCGCGCGCGCGCGTTCGCGTCAGGGGGAGAGGCGGGGGGTCAGGTTGTTTCTTTTTAAAGTGGTCAAAGACTTGGAAAAGCTACGTCTTCGAGGTTTGGGACTGCTCGCTGCGTTTGGAAGCAGGGTGTGTGTTGTCTTCTTGTATCTTAGAGGAAGAGGAACAGGTCCCACAATGGTCCCAATGTTTCTGTGTTCTCAAAATCTTCCAGAAATCCTCCAGAAACCCGTCCTAAAGGACTCCCAACCCAGATCTTTCGTGATCTTTGGAAGGTTTTTGTTGCTTCTTGGTCAACCAGACCGAGCAGACCATCACCGGACACCAGACCGAGCACGGAGGAGCAGTTTTCAGACGTTTGCTTCGTGGTGGAGGGCAAGAGGCTCTACGGCCACCGAGTGCTGCTCACACTCTTCTCGGACTACTTCCGAAAGGCCAGGGGCTGGGTGGTTCTTGAGCTGGGTGGTGGGTTCTTGAGCTGAGTGGCCCTGTATAAACGCATGTGTAGTATGGGACGACTCAAGTCTCAAGACAGTTTGGCTAAGGCAGCCAGGTTGTAATAGTTTCTATTACCTCAGTGGAATTGATCAACTTCTCATAAGCATTCCAACTACATAAGCATGGATGTCCAACTAGTGATTGCACAAATTGAATGAACATTTGTCTATGGTTGATGTGCATCCAAAACTCATGTTGGACCAGCCGCCAGCCCACGGCCACAGATTTTTTATTGCCTGTACACCATTGAATTACGAAGGGCCTGTGGCAGTGGGTGGTTTCCCAAGAGTTCTTTGGATTACAGTCGGTGCCAGTCGAACTGAACAACACCACAAACCTCGACCAAGGATAGATATTTGCACACATAGAACATACAACTTAGTAAAAAAAACAGTACAAACAAAAGTAGCACACTTCGCGACACATATCACGGATGCAGCGTGTTGGTACTGTCACTGGCTGCCGGTGTACTAATCAGACGAAGGCAGTGACGAAGGCAAGCAGGAGAAGAAGGTGGCAAGAGCTTTGAACAAACAAGAAGAGCTGCAAGAAGAGGTCGAAGCAATCATTTAGGAGTCAAAGAAGCCCAAGAAGCTGCAACAAAGCAGGAGCAGGTGCGGGGCAGGCCGGCAGGCCTGAAATGAAGAAGCACTGGGCAGAGCACAGGCGAAGAATCTCTTTCTCGGGCAAACGCCTTGAATGCAAGTTGAAAGAAGCTCTTCGACAAAAGGAGAAAGATCGTTGACAATCTTGCTGAGATTGAAGTTTGGCCACTTCTGCTGGTTCAGTGAACCGTACGCAGGAGTGGGTAGGCAGAAACAAGCCTTGGCTTGCAGAGCCATGAACCGCTTGATGAGTGCTGTGGAAAAGTACTTTATTGTTTTGCTAGAGATCAAAAAACCACTGGCTGACCAAGATTCGTTGGGAATGTGATCGTGAGTGTATGTGGGTGATGTTACCTTGCTGGCTGTGTAGCCTGCATGTGGCGACATGGTTTCAGTCGCCTCAGCAAGATGTTTCACACAACCAGAGGACATGATCATAGATGAGGTAAAATAAGTCGGTTAGGTGAAATATGGACCCACAATTTATTCGTTCTTGGCCAAGAGTGTATCTTAAATGACCCTGTCACTGGCGCTTGGTCTCCATGAGGCGTTCGCCTGCGGCATGCGAGAAAGCTTTGAGCCGGACATCATCATCGAGGAGATGGGAGCAATCCACTGGGGGTTGATGGGCCGAGGTCAATGGATGTCTACAAGTTTGGATATCATGTTGGGAAGGGGAGTGAAGAGCCAGTGATTGTGTGGATTATGAGCCATCACATGAACATGGTGCTGTGAAGTCTTTGATATGTCTCGTGGTCGGATTATGCAGGGGACATGTTTGCAACATGGGTGATATGTGGTACAGCTTAACGGGTTGAAAAAAGGTTGCACAATGAATATGATGTAGTAGTAATCTTGACATCAATGAACCCCGTGATTCGTCATGAACACCTACTCTAGAAACCGGCTGAGCCATCAAGACCCAAGATGTTCAGCTATGTTCAACCTGCACCGGTTTGACCCTTTGACTTAGAAACAATTAGAACATGCGGTGGAATCTTAGATGTAAGGACAACCAAGATTTCCCACCTCCGGGAATGGGATGTGGAAACACTCCCAACCACGACATTTCATTTGAAACATCCAGATTGGGTCCAAACCTTTTGGGCCACTTAGAGAGTAGGCGATGCACATCCAATTTGTTTCAAGTCTTTGAAAACAACTACGCCCACAGACAGCCACACAGCAGGGCGACATGACCTTTGGAGGATGTCTCTTACGAGATCTTTTACGCGCTCTTGGAGTTTTTGTACACCGGGAGGCTCCAGTTGTCGTGCTCCGGCAGTTATCATCGTCATACAGGAACAGTGCAAGTGCACCATAACTCTTTTACATCGTTTCATTGAAGACTAGCACCACTCTGGCTAGGTTGACAGCATTGGTGAATACAGTTGCCTCCTTCCAAATACTTTTTGTCACTTGTAGTTGAAGATCCCTCACCACCCTGACAGCAACAGCCCATCCTAGGTCGGGACAACAGGGTGACGCTTGCTTCCTGGTAGGGTTGCTGCGGGCGGCCGACCAGTTCTGCGCCGACTGCGTGAAGCAGCTGTGCGAGAAGAGCCTGAGCGCCTTGGTCGACCAGGACCAGCGAACGTGCGTGTGCCGCGCGTTCGAAGGGTGTGTGGACCATCCGTTTTTCGGTTCGGTTGTCCGGGTTCGTAGGTAGGAAGAAGTTGGTCCAGACCCCCGGATAATCAGGCCAACTGAGTGGATGTGTCCAGATGTTTCCATTTGCTCTACGGAGTTGGGAAGATCCACATGAACCCGGTCGAACATCTGCCCCCAATGCCCCACATGGAGACCGGGTCGCAGGAGAACGTGGAGGCCTTCCTGAGTGAGGCTGAACGCTTTCAGGCCCTTCAGCTGGCAACTTTGGCATAAATGTGGAGGCAAACGGGATGTAGTTGGCCTGCCAGGCGTAGACGGCCGCAGCATTTCGAGGACTTTTCTACCAATTCCGTGTGGAAAGACCTACAACTTTCTATGTGTTTGCAGGGTGTGACGCAAGGGCCACTGGGGAGAGCGTCGAAATGGTCAGAGTCATAAGCATTTTCTATGGTATTTCTCATGGTTTCGAGCAATTGTGCAGAACATGCATGGTATTCACAGTTCGATGTCACAACATTGTCATCGACATCACAACATTTGTCATCGATTAGTCGTGTGATTAAAGTTGGGTGGGGGTTGGGTGGGGGTTTAATGACGTTGCTTTGGATGTGCTTCTGGACGAAGTCTTGGAACAGATTAGCGGCTTGTTCTGAGAAGTCCTTGTACAGATTAGCGGTTCTGACGGCTGGTTTTAGACGGACAACCTTTGCAGAATAATTGTTCTTGACTTGTTGTGTCGGCGCATGCGACCAGTATCCAAGGCAGTTTTTCGAAACAACCAACCAACTGCGCAGAAAACCACCCTTAACCAGGTCATTTCAAACGCCTTCTTCAACACACCCAAAACAGGGTCCCAAAAACCACCCAGCCAAAGAACAGCCCGGCGGACCATGTAGTTTCGTATTCCAGGACTGAAGGAGTATGAAGGATTGAACATCCATCTGAATCTGAAGGACTGCTTTCAGTTGGAGACTCTTCAGATGGATTGCGTTTCAGTGGGCAACAAGAGTCTTCAGATGGATTTCGAGACCCCACTCACACAGCAGCCCTGCACAGCACACAAACAGAGAGAGGGGTGTGTGTTCGTGGTGAACTGAGGTGCAGTACTGCGAGTGGTTCAAGCGGCAACAGGATTGGCGCCAGACCCGACCCTCTCACAGCAAGCAGCGTCGACTTCCTTCGGTGCCCGAATCCGGGAAGTCCAGCCCGGGAGCGGAGGGCCCACCCACGCCGTTGAGTGAGGCACCAATGCAAGTAGAAGAGGAGTGGCAGGTCTTAAAGGGATACATGGCCGATAGCTGAGAAGCGTGGCCCAGACAGATGTAGAACATTCAGGACGTTCAGGAGATTCGGTTGAAACCTAGCCCAACAAATCATACCAAAGCAATGATTATATAGGTAGCTGCTAAGGCTCAGAAGGCTTCGTCTTTCGGTCTCCAGCAGTTTCGGCCTCCAAATCTCTGGACCTGAAGTTGCCCCCCGACCCCAAAAAGGGACGTTTGGGGCTGTAGTGCCGCGTCATGTGCAGCGTGACGTGGATGCCAAAACAGGGTGCCGTTCTCGGTCTTTGTGGGGTGGCGGAAGGTTGGGAGGATGGTTTCACTTGAGATGGAAGGGAAAGACGATGGAAGAAAAGAAAGATCATAGAATGCATCATTACTGAGATAGGTTTCGATCCGTGTTGTCTTTCCGCCTGATCTACAGGCTGGTTTTGATATGTTTAGATGTCCTTTCATGCGCTGGTTCACGAAGAGTGAATCCACAGTGTATCCATTTTTGGGGTGAACACCATGTTTATTCTGAGGGGACCATGACAATCATGCGGATGATTCTTTGCACTGATCCCTAGCTTTTCATGCTTTTTTTTCAGGAACTGCCGGAGACCTGGCATCAACGTCCATTTTCGCCATACGTTGCATGCGACTTTCGCATCACAACTTCACCGGACTTCCGATTTTCTCCGGGCTTTCAGCACCCGCCGGACTCCGCGGGCTCCGGGAGGCTCGGAGCGCACCGAGCCCATCGAGGCGGGGCGCGGCAAACGCGGGCTGGCGCGTCGGGCTGGCGCGTAGAGCGGGCACCGGAGATATCTGGTGCACGCCGAACCATTGATGTTGATTCGGACTGAATATATGATTTGTAAGATTTTGATCTTAATCATGATTTGAAAGAGTTTGACCGTTAAGACCGTAGGATTTTCTGTGATCTTTCATTGGAAAGGATATGAAAGGATCCTCCAGGTTGCTTTCCCAAGGCGGAGCAAAAGCCTACAGCAAATCCACTTTTGAAGGAGTGCAGCATGGATTTTTGCGAGGCGCTCCTGAAATCGAGCTCCGCACGCACCTACCATGAGCTGCTGGTACACAACTCCTACTGCTACGTGGATGAAAAAAGATGGGACATAGGCAGACCCTGAAACCATCATGGGCACGTGGATGGGAAAAGGTCCCTTTTGTTCGGATGACCATGAGTTTTCCGAATACCAAACATGGGGATTGTCCACTTCCATGATCATTCCAGGGAGTATAGGTGGATTCGACGGTCAGAGAACCTGAGAAAGGCAGGAGGTTTCCTCCCAAGAAGTGGTGGACCCTTGCTGCTGCTTTTTGCTGCTTTTTGCCGTGACATCGGTGAGTTTTCGAGGTCTCATTGCTTTTCCATGTCTGCTTGGTCTGCATCTTGAAAGGTCCCAAGTGTTCCCATCCAGGCGGAAAAAAGGATAGACAAAAGAGCTTCCGCGTGACATCTACGATGCACTTCTACGGAGGCATCTTCTGCTGCTTCGCCCCTTCCCTTCTGGTCCTTCTTCAGAAATCCCATTCTGCGCCACCTTCACCCACCCCTCCAACCGGGTTCGTTTCGCACAGCGGCTCCTGACCGCTGAGATTCTCCACGGATCGAAGCCCTACGGTCCTTGGAGAGGACAGACAGGTGGGCTGCGTGTGGCGCTGCGTCGCGGCAGAGCGGGACCTCGTGGAGACATGTGTTGAATGCCTTGAGGGGAGGGTGAAGCCGGAGGACTTGGGGAGGACTACTTATAGTATCGCAACTGCAATTGCTTGCATGCTTCATGAATCGTGTGACTTTTCTGGGACTCGTGGAAATGGATGTTCAATCTTCCTTGGAGAAAACCCAAACGGCTCTCACCAGCTCGCTTGCCAGGAAGCTCTACGGTAGTGGGGCCCAGTTCTTCTTGAGGTTGCGATTGCTGAGATAAAGATGGTCTTTGTGGTTGATTAAAGCTGGGCGGCATCCGATAAATGCGGAAGTTGCCAAAGCAAGATTCGCATCAGAATCTGTCGACTCACTTCCATGGCTTGGAGAAGAGGGCAGTACGTGGTGTTGAACGTGTTGATTTTTTCTGCTCCGGCGCTTGGATCAGGCAACCAAAACAAACATGGGTTTGTATGGCTCCACAATTTTATGTTTATGAAACGCCTTTGGGAGGGTCCTCTTCTACGTCCCCCATTTCTCTATGCCCACAACCACTCACCAGTATTCTCGTAGTATTGGCATTTCACTAGCTTGGGCGGCAGACACATCTATACTTTAAAGCAGCCTTCAAGCCAAACTCTCAAACCATGAAAGACTGAAGACTGTCCTCTAACCAGCCCAGCCAGTTCCAAAAACAACAATCTTCTAGGACCTAAGAAATCACTCCAACCAGCTCCACGCCGTTGATTTCTTGCCCTTCCTTTTGCAGCACATGCTCTGCAGCACAAGCTCTGCAGCACAAGCGGTGTGGGCAGACCTGACCTCGCTGAGGCTCTGCTTGTGCGGCAGGGTCTGCCTGGACGCTGTTTTGGCCAGGGAGACCTAGGCATGTGGTTGCGCGGTGAGGAGAAGCAGGAGGAGAAGCTCCTCGGGTGGGACGTTCAGGGCCGCCCAATGCAGGCGTTTTTTGGATCACACGCTTGGGACATCTGCAGGATGTTGGCCGTTTTTTGAACGCTCCTTGTTAGAGTAGGAACCCTGAGTAGCTGGACCTCTGCACAAGCGCACATCTTAGAGGCAACCCACTGGCCAAATTCTCCAACTTCTTCGGGTAGATCTGGGTGACCTCTCAAACTAGATCAACACCCCTTGGTTGCGGGTCTCCCTACCGAAACTACACCCATCGTCACCCACCAAGATCCATCCAAGCGAACGATACCACCTGGTCATCTCCAACAACTGAGGGAGGTCGACTCCGGACTCCGGCCCGAGGCGGAACCAGTCTGCAGCGACGGCGGCCTGCAAGGCCCCGAAGCTGCCGGAGTTTCTTTGGAAAGAAGCAGGGGGCTGAGCTAGCCTGAGCTAGCAGCTAGGCTGAGCTCGCCTGAGGGATGCGGGGAAGAAATGCATTCTATAGCGAAGGAACGGACCAGATTGTGAATGAGTACGGAGCAGAATGAACTTGGGTGAACAAAAGACGATACACTGTATGTAATTGCGACACAGCTTGAGGCTGATGGATCGAGGAATGCCAATTCTATTTAAGCATATTTAAGCCAAAAAGCTGCCGCTATCATACGGGTGGAATTTCCGATAGGTTTGGTAGACAGGAGATGACAACATCCAAAGCTGATCTTGTTTGGCTTATATATCGCTGCAGGTGCTTTAAGAGGACCGGAAGACCTATAGCTTAGCGTATCAAATCCACTTCGCGCATGGACAGCCGCCCCGCCCCGATCCTGGCAGCGAGCCAGGCCGATCAGCTTCGGAAGGAGCTCGCCAGCGAGTCCAAAGGCGTGGAGGGCGCCTGGTGAACCGCACCATGGGAAAGCGAGACGTGCGAGACCGTGGGGAGACGTGTTCGAGAACAGGGTCTGGTTGAAACGAAATGGACCCACTCCACTCTATAGTCTCTCCTCTCATGGACCCAGAGAGAGACAGGCTGCTTGAACTTGATCAACATGGACATGACTTGTCAGCCACGGACCTCAACGGACCTCAAAGGACCATTTTGAGAAAGCTCGATTTCTAACGACGTGGACCATGCGTTGTTTCTGAACACTTCACGGTGTTTGTGGAAACGTAATTCCATGCACTTCAAGCTTCGATTTCATGGATCTGATCATGTAGGCTACTGGCTCGACCAACGGCTTAAGAAAACACACATCCATCTGATACTGTCTCAACAAACAGATCCTTCTGGAGTGTCTTCTCTCTCTCTCTCTCTCTCGCTCTCTCTGAAGTGTGGACTGACACGCGGAGTGTTTGTCTCTGGCAGGCCCCAGCGATCTCTTTACCTCCAGCCGCCTGGGGCTTGAGCTGGAGTCGAAGGGGGGCCAGAAAAATCACTTAAGAAGAATGTCATAGGACATACTGTTGGGTCTTTATCTAGTCCGAGTTTACACATGTTTACAGTAACTCAGTAACTCTTCCCAGCCGAAGCATCTCCGTGCGCCAACCCGCTTTTCGCTCCAATTCTTCGCTCCACCAGCGGTTCGCCTCGGTCTTCGGTCTTCCGCCTCACACACTTCCTCAGGTCTCGATCTGACTCTTCGCGCTGGGCAGGCTGACGATGCCACCCGCCTGTTTCGATGTGCTTTGCACGGCCGAAGTGGACGCTTGATGTGGGAACCGAAGACCAAACTAGTGGACGCTTGAGGCTACTGGTAGCGACGTAACGGCAGCTCCTGGACTTGTCTCGTAACACTCCAAAACCTCCCGAAAGTAAAGTGCGAAGCAATGGACAGGTTGGGGATCAATGACAGCTTTGCTGTGCTAATGAAACCTGGCAAACACATGCAAACACCCACAATTTACTGGCACACTCCTCGGCGTTGATACAGGCTTTGGAGACCACCGTGGCACTTCCTCTTCGTTCTGGGTGTGTTTATGGGCCCTTCCCCAAAAAGAAGGGACGCCACTTCCCGAAAACAGAAGACGAATGAGCCCAACTCCCCTCAATCACCTCCATACCGAGCCCAGGAGCCATGAGAGGCACCTGAGGCACGCCGCTGTCGCCCCCGCTGCGCGCAGGCGTCGGGCGGGACGCTGGTGCTCTATGGCGCCTTGGACGACCCGGCCCTGCGGCCCTTGCTCGCTGAGGCGGGTGGAGCGGTGGTGAAGCCGAGGTGGTGGAGCGGCCTGGGGGGAGTGTTTCGGAGTTGAGTGAGGGGGTTTGGGGGGGGTTGAGAAGATGGAGAGGAAGGACCCTGGAAACATGGAGTGGTGATGGAGTGGAAAACTCTGTGGTAAAGCCGTGTAATAGAGCCAAGGTTCTTAGAGCGTTTTCAGGTCTCCAACTGGACAATGTGACCCCACTGCTTTCAGTCAAAGTAGGTCGAGCTCCGTCTTCGTAGGTCTCCGAGGCACTGGGACCCCGAGCGAGCTCGCGTCCGCTACAGCCACGTCCGCCGTCCGCTACATCCACAGCCGTTTGAGGATCGCATCGTTGGGAAGACAGCAAAACGCAGCAAAACGAAACGCAGCAAAACGACGAAAGACGATGTGTTGTGTAGTTCACTGAAACTGCTGCGGCGCGGCCGAAGGCCGGGGCAGGGAGAGGTTTAGACATCTGTCGGTTCCCTGCGTGAAACTTGCTGAATTTGAACGACAAGCAGCAAATGGATGCCAATGGTCTTCTTGTGTTTTCTTCATTCTCCTTTTGAGAGGGGGGAGGGTTTCCGACCAAATCAAAACCCGTCCGTTGGATACAGTATCCTAGTTAGAGATGTGAATGAGATGTGTGTCCATGAGACAGTTTGTGTGTTGCAGGGTGCCATAGATCTAAACTCGCTCCAGGGACTGCATGGGACTGCTCCTCAGGTGCAGCTTGAGGCTGAAATGCCCTGACCCGCCCACTGACGCGGACCCCGTGCGCATAGTCGGCATTCGATGGGTGCTGTTTCCAAAGGAACACATAACTACAACCATACAGTGGTTCACATGCATCGTTTTGCTGTAGGGTCAGAGTTGGACATTTGTTCATCCATTTCAGCATCCTTTGGCTGATGGAGGCCAAGGATGATAGGTGGCAAACATGGCACGAGTTGAGTTCATTCGCAAGAAGTTTAAGCATTCCACCTGATGATTCACTCGATGCACTGAACGCGGCCATCCAGCCTGCTCAAGAAGCGTTTCACTTGAGGTGAACAGGTCGCCGGGAAGCTACCCTTGGCCACTTGGGTCAAGGGGTGCTTCCTGGTCCAACAGCAGGCTACCTTACCAGCCTTACCACGACACCAAAGTGCCAACCAAGTGCTCTCCGTACAGAGCACTTCTGGCGAAAGCATGGTTATGGCCCAGGGCTCAAGGGCCCCCGAAGCGAGGCAAAGAGCAAGAGGCCTCAGGGCATGCCCTTTGATTCGGGAGAAATTTAGACACCTACTGCACCCAATCCAAAATAAGTAGAAACCAAGTAGGCTATTCAGCATGACTCAGCATGACCATCAAAACCAACAACTTTTGGAGAGCCTATTCTGGGCTTTCAGAAGCTAACAGAAGCTTTCAGGATTGGGCCGTACCACCTGCCCACCTGCGCCCCATGTCCGTCGGCGAGCGACGGGCGGAGGCCCGGAAACGGCGCCAGGAGCAGTGCCGCGTGGTGCGCAGTAGAGATGCCAGAGAGCCCCGGTCGACCATGTAGCGACGTGGTAGGTCAACCAGTGGCGAATACTAAGGTGAACCGGTCGGTATCCTGGTGCCAGGGCCCACAGCCACATCAAAACCATGTAGGATCTTAGTCTGACTGTTGAATTCTTTCAAGACTTTTCTGCAGGACTTTGTCCAACAGTAGGGGTCTCTCCAAGGTTTTGTCTTGTTGAGAAATGAACTCACACACCTCCTAAGAAGAACCCATTTCACACCCCCTGAAATTTCATGTGATTCTATACCACGTATGTAATATATACGTATGGTATCGTTTGGTCCATACTTTTTGCAGAATCACAAGAGATTTCAGGGCTTTGACCATTTGTGGGGGCCATGGACGTGAACCGTTGCTATCCTCGGCAGCTGGAGCGTACCACCGTTCTGCCGCTGGAGACCGGAGCGAGGTCAGAAGAGCTGCGCGTGCGTGGTGATCTCCAGCTTGGTGGCCACCATCGTGATCCAGCCGCTCGGGGCGTTTTCAGTGTCAGAAGTGGACAGCAGGGTTCCAGCAGGGTTCCAGCAGATCACCTGGCTTCTTGGGCGGTTTGGGGTTTCTGGTCATACCCGATGTCCCGGCTTTTCGCGTGGTGAATGGGGTGTTCACCTTCGGCCAGTTCCTCGGCCCCGGTGAGAACGGGGGACCCGGACCAGGTGTTTGGCGAAGCCGGTGGAGGTCACGGTGCCCAACACCCCGGAGGTGCCAGCAGCACAGCCCTACCTGGCGGCATGCAGTGCGCATGTGACCTGGTAGGGAGGGTGAGTGGGTGGGTGTGGGTGGGAGGTGAACGGTGTTAGAGATGCTCCCTCCCTGTGAGCCTCAATGTAGTTCATATATGCAGCATGTGGGCAGTAGATGTATTAGTAATATTGATTAATCTTGTGGGTCGTGGTGGAGGACCAGGAGATGTTTGTTATACATTTTTTGTGGACACAGGTTCGGTTTTAACTTTGTTCGTCATTTTCGCCAAGCTAGCAGCTAGTGGTTTGGGGTACATTCTCGCTGCAAAGTGTTCAATCTTGGGCTGTCCTTTGGGAGATGATGTTCATGCTTCTTTTCCTGACGATGAGCGACAGATGTCGGAGATGAGATCTTATAGGCTCCCAGGTGTTTGTAGATCTGGTTTCTAGGTGTTTGTAGAGCAAGATGATCAAATTATGTAGCGTTCCAGAAATCACTTAGCTGAGAGGCTAAAAGGTGAACTGGTACTTTTTGTGATTCCTACTGGCCCAGTGGAGGAGACTCCTCACCCGGAGAGCTGAGTTTTGCGGCCGCTCGCGCGAGACACGTGCGTCAAGAAACCTAGTTGAGGCGAAGTGCGCGCAGCAGGGCCAGGATGATTGCTGCCCCTCCAGTGATGGAGTCTTAATGGGTTGCTGCAACCTGGTGGAGCTATGTGGAGCTGCTGGATGGGTCTGAACTTTGCCTTTCAAAGACCCTCCCAAGATCATTGTCTCAAGTGCCCTTGCTACTCCCATAGGTTGGAGGTTCCAGTTGATTGAAGCCTTGAGTGGAAGTGCTTATAGACTTGTAGCAAAAACGCCCTTTTTGGGGTGCCACAGAGTGAGTATGAGTGGAAGGAAGACTTGTGGTTTCGTGGATGAGATGGCCTCCTTTTTCGGATCGCCTTTTTTGGTGGTGAAGTCACTCCACGAAACCGTGAGATATTTCAGGGAGTGTATATAAACATGTGTCCATTGATGTCAACGGGATCTTGAACACTGTCTTTGTTGAGATCAACACGACACGAAAGTGGCGTCAGCCAAATTCAATGCGGCAGAGGGCAAAGTAAGATCGTCCAATTGGGAAAAAGGGGTTCGCAAACAACCTCACGAGCCTCTGGATGCCTTCCAGATGCTCAAACTGAACGACTTCAAGCTTCTGGATGCCCCCCCAAAAAGCCGTTTTCTCTTTTTTTTTCGGGCTCTTCCTTAGCTCGGCACTGCAGCAAAGCTTCCTTTGCCCCAGGCACCGCAAGCTGAAGCCCTCGGTCTGCTTCGGTCACCCACCCCTGACCGAGGTAGCCCCATCCCTTCAAGCGTCAAGGTGGACCCCTTCAGAGGCATGTGCCCTGGCGGTTCGGTTGGGCGGCACCGGGGATACGGTTCGGTTCTCAGCCTGGTGAGGAAGGATGAGAGGGTGACAGGGTGGCGGTGTGGATCGAGATCTTGGGTCATGGTCAGTCATGGTCTATCTGAGCATCGCCTTTTTGGCCGATTTTTGGGGTTGCTCACGTACCGATCTCTTTCCTTCTTACGTCACCGGCGGATCGCGTCGATGCCTACGCATCGATCCTCCAATCTCCGAAAAAGGATCCACCATGCAGCCGTATGCTCCAATGTATGCCCAGCCACCCAGGCGGGTCAAAGAACCCGCAAAAGCCCACCATATGCTGTGTGATCCCTATTCCCACCCAGGCAGGAAAGCGCAGGAAAGCGACCCCCACCACACCAGACCAGCTAGACCTGCGATCCACCCACCCCCCCACCGCTGTGCTACACCCAGGTGCTACGCTCCCACACCAGCGAAGAACGTCTCAGTGCTGCCCACCGATGACTACATGGCTCCCTGGGCCGAGGCGCTCTGGGGCAAGTCCGGGCGCGACGATCTGAGCGCCATCCGACAGATGCCGGGGCGCCCAGGGAGGCCGACAGGGACGGAAGAATCGGGGTTGACAGGAGGTACATGAGAGTCACGATCCGTCTCGATAGGTTTTCGAAGTATACCCTAGGCCCTAGGTAACTACCCACCTCAGAAAGTGTTGTTGACACTGACTCACCGTGTGTGGTTTTTGTTGTCTATTTCTATTTTTACTTGTTTAAAGCAATTTTTTTTGCATTCGCCCAAACTCATGACAACTCACAACCTGCCCTGGCCGCGCCTGGGGCCACCCACGTTGCCGCACGTTTAAGGGGCTTCAAAGTGCTGCGTGTCTATGGCAACGACCCACGGCTGAGCCACGAAGCCTTCTTGTCGCGCTGCACGGCCTTGGGCCTCAAGGTCATTGTGGCACCTTGGGCAGAAGATGCGGAGCCTACTGTAAGACTCTAAGAACATTGGACAAGAGCTATTTGTTGGTCAATGTGATTTCCACAAAATCATGGGGATTGGTCAACAGTTTCCACTATTGGGCTCAACTCAAACAGCACTCAATAGACGTTCTTGGTTTGATTCGCATTCAATGCCTATGAGCCTAGAGAAAGTTAAACATCTTCTGGTTGACTTCCTGGGGTACCATGGAGTGACCCGGATTGGTGAATACCTTCCAAATGGATTGCTCGGTCTATTTTTAGACGGGTTTGGATTCGCATTTCATAAGGAATGAGATGGCATGGCCCCTGAAGGTAGAGGAATGTTGGCTTTCTTCATTGGGTGGGGGGGGGACCATTTTATCATATTTCTTCTGATATAGGGACATGCCAGGTCAGGATGGAGCGGCCACAGCAGCATGCTGGAGGATGAACATATTATGTTTGGCTCCAAAAGTACCTGATGTTCCAGCGACCATCAAAAACAAGAGCTAAGGATGTTACTGTATTCAGTCAACATAGAATATTTGGACATAGACGGAACAGGATGGAACATAAGGAGAGAAAGTGATACGTGGACTTGAGCAACATTCAGCCAGTCAGCCCTCTCAGGCCATCTCTGACTTCCCCTACACCCAGGAGCGACGTCCTTGGGGGATGTTTTGGAGAGAACTTTTGCATGTTCCGAACATTTGGGCTCTTTTTGGGTGCGTTCTTTGGGTGCATCCATAGGGCCTGGATAAGCCTCAGGTCGGAGTTCCCTGAAACCACCTGTGAGGATCCCCAGAGCAAGTGCGCCACCGCGCCGCCCTACGACTGCTTCACTGAAGTGAGGATGGCAGCGGTGGGAGTGGTTGAGAGATGTTGAGAGGCTTGTGGAGCCCATGTGGACCCTGAAAAAGGAAGTTGGAAGGTACCGGGAGGTAGGCAGCATTTCTCTATATAAGCTAGTCACCTTTCTTCCGAGGAAGTCATCAAGTCAAGGGAGTCAAGGGAATGTTTTGCCTAAGTGAGTCATTCTTCAATGGGGGTGTTGGTTGCCCCAGTTTGGAGAAAGAAACAGTTTAAGCTGCTTAGGCTCTGACACTTCCTTGCGAGCTGGGGCAGCTCCTAAACTCGCTTTGCTTGACTTTGGACTATACAAACGGGTCCTATAAGCCTTGAATTCCAAAACAAGCTTAGCTTTACTCTTGAACGCACTCAGTAGAAAAGGTGCCTATAGGGATTCTCATGGGTTCCAGCTCCGAACCCCAGAGACAGACCAGCCCGGGCGCCGAACCGAAGCCCTGCGACGACCGCGGTGGCGGGCGACCGCGGTGGCCGGCGACCGGGCAGCAGGCTGCAGTTCACCACGATGCTGAAGAATGGCTTCACGGTGCGGGACGGCGAGGGGCAGATGCGGTATCACCCGGCCATCGAGGCACACAGATCACATCCCCGGCTCGGATGGCTCGGATGGCTCGCTTCAAAGACGTTGGCACCGTGCAAGGTGGAGTGTGAAATGCGAACATATGTGCATGCATGCATATGCCATATTAATGCGTATTTGGATATGCGCCTGATTCGAACACTTGGGTAAAATGAGCGATGAGAGACCAACCACCCTGGCGCAAAGGTTTCTCTCTTTGCCGCTCTGTCCCACCAAGTCGGCTCCCTGGAAGCCCTGGAGTCAGCCTGAGAGCCTAAGTCACCTGGCCCCCAGAGGCCATCATCTTGATCAACGAGCCTGAACTGAAGATCACCTACCAGGGTGCCATCGCCAAAGATGCCTGGAGCAAGGGGAGCCTTGGATTCTGAAGAATTGGTAGATGGATGTGGAAAAGCTCAACCATGTGAAAAGGGGTTCTGAAGCCTACAAACACATCTCACTTTTCCTTTGGGAACTGGAAACTACCAGTTTTGAACCGCCTTGAACTGATACTCATGCACTCTGACACAGTTGAAGGTTGAGAGATACGAGCACAGCTCTTTCTAAGTAGTTCAATATCGTGTCTTTTCTCCTTCATTCCGCCATACTCCCTCTCCCAAACTTAAACCTCCACCGGCCAGTTCCACTGACGTCGCTCCTGTGGCCTCCAGGTACTACACCAAGGCCTTGCTAAGCGCTTTGGACGGCGCCCTGCGCGCCGAGGAGTCGCTGTCCATCATGGGCGCCAAGCCGCCCTTCACGGTGGCCGCTTGGGGTGGAAAGAAGCGGGAAGTGGTGGGGCGCGGTGGGATGTTTTCAAGATGGGGAGAACTTCGGCTTTGTGTGGGAAGAGTGTGCCGTGTATTTTTGTTGGGGGTAGCTGTGGCTTGGCGCTTCAAATGGGTTGAGAAAAGGGGGGGAGCGGGGACCCAGGTGGAGAACACCGCACAGGGTTAGCACTGCACCCTAGAGTACGGAGGTGGAGGCCTCGATTTGTTGAGTGGAGCGTGTAGATCGTGTAGCGTGTCTGGTTGGGGCGGAACATGGCGGAAGAATTCATGTCTTGGGATCCTGGATCATCCTGAAATCGACAACACATCGGTCCCTGAGGGCCTCCCCGTTGGGGGTCAACCTGACCGACGTGCCGATCCTGCCCAGCCTGAGCGGGTCGGATCGAAGGTGGCATCGCTGGAGTTTGCTTCAGGTGAACTCCTTCTCAACCTGCGAGACCTGCAAGACCAACGTCGCAGGTCGGGGGGGGCGACGAAGCTCGCCTCGGAGACCTTCGGACGTGCGCGTGACGCCGGGATTTCTGGAAGATGCCAAAGGTGGTCTGAGGGACACCATGAAGACTCTTCAATTTGAAGGGAGACTTTGGGGGTGAACACTGTGAACACCAACTGTTGGTGCTAGATTGATGGCGTAATTGGCCACCCAAAAACGGCCTTAAAGTGGACAGTGCCTTCCACGTGGAAGCTGGAAGAGAGAACTTACTCACTGCAGAGGCCACAGACAGTAGACATCTTTTTCCGTAAGATTCGGGGCGCCAAAGTGAACTGGGGCGCCAAGTATCATTCATGGAGTGGTGATCCGGAAGTCGTCCTCCAGCCGCGTGATTCGTGATTCGTTTCGTGATTCGTGATTCGTGATTCATGATTCATGATTCGTGCTTCCCAATTGATTTTCCCTATCAAACAGCCTTTTCAAAGGCAGTTTTAACTAAAACCTCCAGCCGCGTGATTCGTGATTCGTTTCGCAATTCGTGCTTCCCAATTGAGTTTCCCTCTTAAGCAGCCTTTTCAAAGGCAGTTTTAACTAAAAATAGATGGTCTCAATTGATTGTCCCTTTGAAAAAGCCTTTTCAAAGGCATTTTTAGTTAAAAATAACTTGTTCCAATTGATTTTACATTTGACAAAGCCTTTTCAAACGCATTTTTAATTGAACAAGATGGAACCCACGAACCCGAATGCAAACACGTTCCATATGGCCAAATGACACTCTTGACTCTTGACGGACACTCTTCTGGGACACTCTTGTGGGATACTCTTGTGGGACACTCTTGTAGGAAACTCTTGTGGGTCACTCTTTGAGGACACTCTTGTGGAGCACTCTTACAGGACACTCTTGTGGGACACTCCTGTAGGACACTCTTGTCTCTTGTAGGACACTCTTGTGGGTCACTCTTGTAGGAAGCTCTTGCAGGGCACTGTTTTGGGACACTCTGGCGGGACACTCTTGTAGGACACTCTTGTGGGACACTCTTGTAGGACACT